AGCCAGTCTGAGAAGAAAAACCGCGTCAGATGGCGGTCAAACTTCTCTATCGCGGGGATCTCTTGCGTAACTTTAAACGCGAGGACGGCAGTTGTACTATTTAGGGGCTTTTTCTCCTTTGGATCACCTTTTGATTCCTTGTCTTCCGCCTTTTCGTCGTCCTCAACCTCAGCGACGACCTTGAACTCCTTGAAACCCTGGAATAATCTTCCTCTCGACTCAGATAACCCCCTTGTCTCCTCGTTCATAGCCGTCGCGTAACTGAGGTGTAGCGGGAATTTCGCGAAGATGTCTCGCAAGGTCGCGGTCAAGGAGGCTTCCCCGTCGAGAAGAAAATGGAAATCGAGTTCTTCGACGGTAGAAACCTGCTGTCCCCTTTTTTGGGTCATCTTCAACATTCTGCTGTTTTTATTGTTCTTTGAATTGTCTTGCGGTACTTGTCCTCCGCCTTGAGCTTTCAAAATCTCCAATTCCCCCTTTTTCACCATCGCCGCCGAAAACATCCGCGCAACCAACGCTAAGAAGAAACCGAACTCCGGCGCCTGGGCGTTTTCCCGCGTCTGGCTCGCGATCGCTGCATGGCCTAGATGTTGCCATTGGGATATGAGGTTTGAGCTATTCTGTGTCGGGTTCGTTTTGAACATTTCGGAGAGAAACGATACCGTGCCCCGGACAAAACTTGTTTTCTCCTGCGCGGTATGTAGTCGCACGTCTTTCAACGCGAAGCAAATCTCCTTTGACAACTTCGAGTTGAAGTAGCTACTTGTGTTTTTCAACATCCGCTTCGCCGCTACGCTCTGCTTCCGTTGCGAGTCCCTGATTACCGTCTGTCCCAACCGGAAGTCGGGCGACTGACCGAGGATGTCCGCGACACGGGTGATGAGGTCCTGGAGGAAGGGAAAATCGAGTTGCGGTTCTTGCAGATGGTCAAAAATACCGTCATCGTCGGCGCCTGCGCTTATCGATTCGAACTTTTTCTTACTCTTGCGTGCTGACGGCGGTTTATTGCCCACTGCAGTCATGGCCTGTCGCAATAGGAGAAACTTTCCTTTCGAAAAATGGCAGTGCTGCAGAACGAAGGTGATCGCTAAAACTTGCAGTCTCTTCCGACATTGCTCCAGAAATTCATTCGGCCTTTTATGCCCCGTGCGGAAATCGAAGTTTACGTCCGCACCAAGATCCACCTCTTCATCTTCGCCCCCAGTTGCTGTTGCACCTCCCGCGGACATATTAGAAGAAGAGGGTCCGGAACTACCTCCCACGCCCGCAGACGAGGAGCTCCCAGTTAGCGATTTAATGTGCTGCTTTTTCGCGTTTGCCGTCGCTGTGGACTTCAAAAACCCCGCGACAGATTTCTGTACCGCTTTTTGCATCTCTTCCTCCTTTTGTTTTTGCGACAACTTCCCACCTTTTGTATTTTCCAATGCGGTCGCGACGTCGTCCTCTTCGAGTTGCGCATCTAATTGGTCGGGGAGTCGGTTTTGAAGCGGAACGAGCGACGCAGTTGATGGCACGGCCACCTCCGCAGTTGTCGGGACCTCAGCAGGAATCGCCGACGCACCGCAGCTCCACCAGTGTGAATAGAGGTTTGCGACCTTAGAAAGGAGTTTTTCGTGCAATAAAAGATTTTTTTCCTGTTCATCCTCTTCAAATTTCTCTTCTTTCAAATTCTCCAGAACGAGCAACTCCAGCGCCGCTAGCCACAAGTAACTCATGCTCGCACCACCGGGGCGGATCACGGCACTGGAGGTGGAATGTTGCGACCACAGAGCAGAAGCGTTCTTAGTATCGTCGGACTCCTCGTCTCGTCGTGCTACAAGAACCTCTTCTATTGAGGAGCTCCGGACGACCAAGAACTTCTTCACCGCAGAAAGCAATCGCTCAGCCGTTTCTCTACTACAGTACTTCTCAATGTCCACGCCGCCCGCCTTGTGCAGCGCGTCACAAACGCCCGCGAGAAAGGTGGGATCGATCGCCGCGAGAACTTGGTCATGCTGCAGGTGCTTGGCGAGCATCAGTTCGATCGGTTGGTCCAATTTTGCGAGCTTTTCTTTCACCGTGGCCTCGTCATCGCCGTCAGATTTGTCGCCGGAAGAAAGCACTTCCATCTCGAACTCTAGTCGTTCCATGCGCTGCTCATAAATTGCGGTGCGGAGTGCGACGGTGAGGAGTAAGATTTTTTTCCGGATCATTTTGCTCAACTTCGAGTTTGTTTTCTGATGGTCTTCAGAGGTGGTAGAAGTAGTGGACAGAAATTGGAAGATGACCTCCCACTCATCCGTGGCGGAGAATGGGACGAAACGCAGTCGAGACAGCAAGTGCACGTCGGGGTAGTCTTCTCTTACCCTTTCCCGGAAGTTTATGAGTTTCAATCCCTTTCCATCCCGAATTTTATCTCGAAACCCCCTTCTCTTATCATCCGCCGTGGTGGACGTGAACTTGTTCAGCGCTTTTAACCTTTTCTTCTGCAGCTCGAGATGCGCGGCCTCGGCTTCTTTGGAGAAAAATTTTCCGGATTTCGGGTCCGCGAACTTTTTATGGTGGTCCAGTCGATTCGACTGCGCTAAGGTCTTTACCCACTCGCACATCTGATGGTTAACGATGGCTTCGAAATCACAACTCCACTCCGCGAAATCGCTCGACGGCATCCCGTCTTCCGGCTTGCTGACGGAAGTGGCGACCAGCCCCCGTCCGCGGACGTACTTTTTCCAGAGCTTTTCCTTCTTTTCCTTTTTCTTCTGTTCCTTCCGCCGCACCTCGAGTAAACCCTGCCGGATGTCCAGGTCCGCGAAGACCGATTCCGCCATGTCTCCCTGGGCCGCGACGGACGCGACGATGGATGCGCAGTGCTTGTGGATGAACAGGGAAAATCGTTTTGGCTCCTTGTTGCTTGTGTCCACCGTTTTCGTCATCAGTTTCACCGCTTTTTCCATCTCATTCAAGTTTTTGAACTCCTGCTTGTCGATCTCGCGCTGCCGCAGCAAATTTTTCATTTCCTTTACCACGTTCACCTCTGCTCCAAGGTTCACTTTCGCGAAAGAGACTTCCCGTGGCAAATTTGCTGCAGCAAGGGCATTGTCCGTCAAATGCGCGTGTTGCTTTTGCACGTCGTGATCCAAGATTTGTCCGTATTGTAGCATATGCACTGCAAAAGTATCGCACTCGTACCAAGTGCATTGTCCTTAAGGTAAAACAGCATGACAAAATCCAGCTCCCATGCTGAGGAAATTTGTAAATGCATTTATACGAGTACGATACTTTTGCACAGCATATAGCAAATCCCTTGTCTGCTTGTCTTTCTCCAACACATTCTTTTCGACGTGGCGATATAAGGAGCGAAAGTCCTCGACGGCTTTCACTCCCTTCCGCACCGACGACCAAGAGGACCGCCGGAGGGGTTCGATGTTGGCTTCGATAGGATTCCTGTCGAAATCTGCGAGGGAGTTGAAATCGGAATAATTTTTCTGGTGCTGTGAAGAAGACGAAGAGTCCTCGTTTTTATCCGTCAGAATTATTGCCGCGTTCTGGTTGTACTTCGCGACCGCTTCTTCAATCTTTTCTTTTCTGTGCTCGTACTTGATTTCGTTCTTCTCCTGTCTTTCCCTTCTCTTCCCCTTGAAGCTGTACTGATCCACCACGGCTCGTGTGTCCGTTTCCAGCATTTCTCGGCGTTCCGCCACTGTGATTAGCTCATGTTGGGCTACTTTTTTGCTGTCATAAGAGAGCAACTCATCCTTTTTCTTCTGCTCTTCCTCCCAGGTTGCCGCTTGCTCGGTCGACATCCCCAGCCTCTCCCGCTGACTCCGGTACAGCGCCACGTAGTCCGGCCCCGGAGGGTCCTCGGAGGGGGTGTTATTTGCGTTCGCAACATGCTGCTCATCTTCTTCCACCTCGAGAAATCTACTCTTTCTCCCGCTATTATCACGGTAAAGTCCTATGTACTCATCGAAAGCGAGCGCTTCGAACAGCGGCAAAATCTTGCGCCAGTCCCGCTCCGCCGTTGCCTCCGCCAGCTCGCGCCAAAGCACGTGCTCGGCGTCGCGGGCGACGTCGTCGTCGAAGGTGTTGGACATTCCCCAATAAGCGGCTGTCGAGATCGTGTGGCACAATCATGGTCAAGCTGCTCGCGAGACGAGCCCACATTGAAGTCGTGGCACACGACGCACACAAATTTTAAGCCAACATTGGCGCAGCTCCATTTTCAAAAAAAACATCGTAGTTGACATTCAAAAAGATATCTTTACGTAGCAAAAGAACAGTGAGTACTGTCGACTAGCTCTATTTTATGTGATCATGATGACCCTTCGAAAAAAAACGCCTGGTGCGCAAATTGATGCGGTTATCATCTTTAGAGAAACTGTTAACGAAAAACCCTGAGCTACTATACATACACAACATGACTAGAACCGATTATGTATATGAAAGACTGAAACTTGGCTGTATACCTGTAAGCACGAACGACGACTGAAGAAGATGGACACGACGACACATCACAATCACTCGTACACGATTACGAATGCGATAGCGAGCGATGACGAAGTAATAGCAGGAGAGACATCACATCGAGCAAATACAGCAAAAATGTTGAAACAAACGAGAGCTTTTTTATAGTAAAGTTTCATCCTCTACTTCCGTGGCACAGTAGAAAACGTGAACGAGTGACGAAAGCGACAAGGACAATGGTGTTGAGTGACAGTGACAGTGGCAAAATAAATGCCGTGATCTTCATACTCTTTTCCCCACTCTGGTGCGGATTTTATTAAGCCTAGTACTACTATGATTGCGGATTTTCTATGGACCTACTAGTTCCAAAACATAAACAACAGTGGGCGTCGAGCAAGCGATCACGAAAACGAAATGTCATATGAAGATGAAGAACGTAAACAAGTTTTCAGACCGGTGGAGCCGCTAGCCCTACCGCTCACACGAACAGCCGATCGGTCGAGCAGATCAGTTCCAGAAGTTTGTTGCTCTTGCAGCAGCTCGTGCGCTTTCTTCTGATCGCTGTTCTGCAAGAGAGACGTATCTTGTTTTCATCTTCCGGTATTCCTATTGGTATTCTCGAAAAATAAATCCAGCCCTCGAAACAAGACTTAGCCCTCGGACGATGAGCTTCTTTCTCACCGACCAAGGCAAGTCCTCGCGGAGCTTGGCTCATGATGTTGTAGTGATGGTGTCAGAAAGATCAGGCTCAGTTGTAGTTCTACTACTTCCACAAGCATGAGCAACTAGAACTACAGACCAAGCATTCAAAACGCAGAATGAAGACCACGCGTTTTTTCTCTTCAATTAACCAGCTGCGCTCTCCTGTGTTTGAAGTACTCGGACGTGTCGATGGGTTGCCCGGCTTCTGTTTCCGCGAGGCTCAGTAGCCGATCCATATGCCCCGCGGCGACTTGGTTGTCATCATAGAATATCAGCATGTCCGACGTTCTGTAATGGAAATTAATGGAGCACAAGTTGGGCCGATGAGGATACACGTCGTTCTATATTCAGCCATGTAGAAGTGATGAATTATGCTTCACGACTCGTCGTGCGGCTTCGATGTCTTAGGGGGGGAAGAGTATTTCGGGACGGTAGAATTACTCGACACTCTGAACGGAACTACACACGGACATGCAACCCGCTTATGCCTAATATCCGCCATCGCGCTACATGATGATGACGAGATAGCATTATCAAAACTTTTTTCGTACAAAAAACAGCAACTATACTGCGGCTGCAATGGTATGTCCATCGGGGGCCAGCACTCCCCGTCTGCCTCCTCGTAGTCCAGTCCGGCTCCTGGCGGCGTCACGGCTACATCCGCAATGTCGCTGACATTTTTCACCGAAACGCCCGTGTCTGCTTCGCTGGAGGTGATTTTGTTTTTAGATAGAAGTTGTACGAAAAAAGATTTTGGTATTCATGTGATACTTGAAACACATCGGTACTGACGATGTAATCGATTGGGGTGCAGCGGAAATGGAAAACAAGCCGCAGATGCATAGGCAAAATTATAGCGTCAGAATTTATATATAAACATTACTGCACAACCCGGATTTCATCCGTTGGCAGCGGGTCGCCCGGCTCTCCCGCGGCTAAACTGTCGTAGAGGTCCGACCAGCAAGACCAGGGCGACTCCGAGGGTCGCGCTCGCAGCTGGAAATAAATGTACACCCAGGGTCCGACCGTCAGAGCCATGGTCAAAAGCATCATGAACAACCACAGGAGCGTCTGGGTATGGAGTCCCCAAATGTTACATTCCCAACTGTCACGCGAATTTGTCATGCAAAACTACCATCAAGATCCACGCGATCAAGCTGCTTTGCATGACACATTTGAGAAAGGCGAAACAGCGCCGAAATTGTAATGCTATAGGCGCAACCTTGCCCCTTTGATTTTTGCTATTCTTGCATTACAAATTTATGTAGCAGTTGAGAATGTAACATTTGAGAACGCCATACTGGAACATGGTAAATTGGTGGATCTCGTCCTCCGGTCGCAGCCCGGTTTGCTGGAAAGAGGGAGGTCCACCAGCTGCACCTATGCCCCCTGGCGGAGTTGTACTACCGATCAAGGACCCGACGTGTGCAGGTCCACTCGAGGGGCCGGAAGGCGGAGGTTGCTGCATCATGCCTGGTCCTCCGTTCATGGCTGCTCCAGCTCCAGCAGCTGCGGTGCCATAACCACTCAGGTCTCCTGGCGCAGCACCGGCTGGACCTGCTCCTGAGTTGTAGGCGTATGGATTTTGCTGGAGACCAGGATCGAAAGAAGATCCTGCTCCTCCCGCAACTCCATAATGCGGAGGAGGTGCACCAGGTGCCATCGTCGTGAGGAAGATAGAAGATTTAGATTATACTTACTTAATATGTGCTCGACCACGCTATTGACAGGACTGCTTGTAGTTGTACAACTAGGTTGTAATCGTCTACTTCAAGCCCTTGTTCACAGAAGTACTCGATGGAAATAAATTCTGACGCCGATTCAACGCACTTTGGAGGAAAGGCATTGCCACTCGGAAGTACGAATAAGTTGCTTCAGATCACGACCGGGTCAAAACAACTTTGGTAATGCTGTTGTTTCCGCAACCATCATTTCGCTCAACTACTTGAAGCTGCACTTCGTGCTTCGCTCCTGCGACGCTCCTCCTGTGCACGGTGAAATAATTTCATCCTTAGTGGCATCACAAAGCAGAAACCCTCGGCTCGTGGAAGACCACTACTTCTCCGCCATTTATTCCAGTATAGCAGTGCGACGAACTACGGGACGTTTTTGTTGACAGGCTCGAATTATAGATTTCGATACGATAGTGCAAAAACATCGCATTTTTTTCAATAAATTCCTTTATTTTTATTGTGATCATACACATAGTACTAACGACAACTTAATCCTGAAGAGTGCGCGGCATTCAATCGCAACCACCTGGCTGCGCCGGCCTGCGTTCTTCCGGCCGCACAGGACTGCAGCTGCCGCTGCGCACTGGCAATCATTCATACTGAAGATTATTCAGCAAAGATGCTGTTGTGTTTGTTGAGAGTGGTCACATGGAACCGCTTGAAAGTTGTTCTTTCTTCACATGTGTCTAGCGCTACTTCAACAAAAAGAGGACAACTTGGTGGAGCTGCTTTGGCTCCAACCTTAGAGAGAGAGAGAGAGGGAGAGAGAGAGAGAGAGAGAGAGAGAGAGAGAGAGAGAGAGAGAGAGAGAGAGAGAGAG